AGTTTTTCTCGGACCACGAGTGGGAATATTGGTCTGTCTTGTCACAAAGACAGCAAACTCGACTATAGGCACCCCTGCCAGGATAGCCGAATTTTGCTCATCGAAAGGTGGAGGACACCCAAAAAAATCTTCACCAGGTGAGAAAACGATCGAAGTGACGGACTGTGCCAAAGAGATCACCCACGGTCCCGATTTTGGCAAGGATTGTGAAGCCCAGCCACGACCCATGTTTCGAGCGTTGCCACAGAACATTCAGAAGATCCTCCTTCGCGCGCGTAAGAACCTAGGCCATCCTAATCATGAGCAAATGGCAAGAGCACTGCGTGACCCAGTGGTTGGTCTCCGGCCGTACAGCAAGCTGTGCGAGACATGACCTGTGACACCTGTCACGAACAATCCCTTCCCAAAATAGCCCGACCCAGTCACTTGAAAGAAGCCAGAGATTTCAATGACTTAGTCCAGTTTGACAACTGTGAATGGAGCAACCCTCAAGGTGAACGATGTGCCTTCTACCACTTCATTGATACGGCGACGAACTTTCACATGGCCATTCCCAACAACCAGTGCCACGGAAGCGAAGAGTGATGCCTTTGCCAAGTATCTACGAGGAACAAAATGTCCAATGCCATGTTGTCCTCACGGAAGGTCATTGGCAGCTAGGCAGGGCAAAGCGCCATGGTGCCATTCTGCAAAAAATGCTGGATAAATTCCACGTTGACCGACCCATCCGATCATTGGCGGACTTCACACAGGCCCTGACGCAGATCTGCAACGCTGAGAACTCCTTATCACGAACAAAGGGGTACACACCAGAGCTGCTGGTACTAGGATGTACTAGGTAGGAATGTTCTGGATGACTCAGAAGTCGGTTCCAACGTCACAGCCAGTGAAACAGAGTCCGGGTATTTCCAAGAGCAACTAGCCATTTGCGCAGCAGCCAGGATCGCCTTCGTCAGGGCGGACAATTGTCAGAGCCTCTGAGGTAAACCAATGGGTTATGCGCTGAAAAAGGTTAATGGCATGGACCTGCCAGGGTGCTCATGATTGACGGACACAGTGTTGTTTGGATTAGCCGCCCCCGAACATATTCGAACCTTATCCAACCAAGAGTATGGTGTCCTAAAGGGGGAAGACCGCTCAGAACGACCACAAGTAACTGGCTCAGGAGTTTTCCAATTTCGGGACTTGACCACCGCCGGACATCCAAATCCCGAGCATGGGTCGACCAGTTCAGCATGTGTTGAGCCCAACCTACCTGAACCTCCAGTCTTGGAGAAAGTGAAGGGGCGCCCCTCGGTCATCCGGGAGCATACCTCATTGTCCTCAGAGCGCCCAGTCGGAACGTCACCCACACGCAAACCAGATTCAAGGACCCCGACCAATGAGTGTCACAGGACCAGATGAGCCCGTTGATCCTGCCACAGTGCCCCTACCGGACGAAGCCGATGATCTCATTGCAGAGCATGCATCACAAGACTTTTGGGAACAACAAGAAGATCGCGTGATTCGACACCATGTCAATCCACGATTGCGATTATTTTTGCCATCCGACAGTCTCACGCGCCCGTGGCCTCTGCATCAACTAGGCACCCGCATCACCCAGGGGGTATTCAGGGATAACAATGTGTTTCAAGATCATTGGCGGGATAACCCACCGCTGTTTGACCGATATTTGGACAGGCGCCACCACTTTTTTCAAGAACAAACAACCAAGGTCAAGTGATCATGCCTACCATGTTGTCAAATGTTGAAACCAAAACGGGAGCGATCATTGAGATTGCTCTCAGCGCCGAAGAGATCACTCAGTGCTGCCAGAAGAAATATGCCGACCAGGTCGCCTATCTTGCCTCTCAGGCGAAACGACAAAAGGTCGAAGTTCGCACGCATGAGCTCAACCCAGACGAGAAGAAACAATTCCTGGGAGCCAAGCACAAGGAGGTCGACCAGTGGCTGGCCACAGAGACAGTTCGCCGAACTGCCCGTCACAAGATCCCCGAAGAAAATCTCCTCAAGACTAGATGGGTATCGTCGTGGAAACAACTCGACCCTCAAGAACAAAAAGAGACTGGACGCACTAGGAAACCCAAAGCGCGGTTGGTCATTCTGGGTTTCATGGACCCCTCCATTGAAACTTTGGATCGCGACGCTCCAACCTTAGGGAGAGATAGCAGATTTCTCATCATGCAAGTCTTGGCAAGCGCACGCTGGGGTGTCCAGTCCTTTGATATCAAAACTGCGTTCCTTCGCGGAAGCCGTCGCGACAATGGAGTACTGGGTATAGAACCCCCTGAAGAAATGCGGGAACGCATGCACCTCCAGCCACATCAGGCTTGTGAACTTTTCAAATCTGCATACAATCTAGTGAGCGCGCCACTCTTGTGGTACACAGAGCTAACGACAGCCCTTCTCTCATTTGGTATATCCCCCCTAGACCCCTGTGTCTTTGCACTGCCGAAAACGGAGTACCAGAATGGGAAGACTGACGCTTTGGCCATTCACGGGATTTTGGGTGTTCAGTGTTCACGTGGACGACGGGATTGGAGGTGGAGACCAAATCTTTGAAGATAAGATCCGACAGCTAGTCTCGATATCCTTTCGGGAGCAAACGCAAGCAGGACATGATCTTCGCAGGATTGCATATACACCAGGACCCTTCCGGTCTGATCCAAGTTGACCAGAAGGACTATGTGCATGATATCCCTAGCATTCATGTGTCTAGAGAACGACGCCAAGAGCCTAAATCTCCGGTCAGCTTCAACACTTTCGTGTGCTCATAGGTCGTCTACAGCACGAAGCAACTAATACCCGACCTGACATCTCGTGCCGATTAAGCCTTCTTCAAGCCAAGATTCCCACCGCGACGGTTCAAGACTTACTTCAGGTAAATCGCTTGTTGACGGAAATTAAGAACTTTGCGGAAGTTCGTGTGAAATATCAACCTATACCAATAGATCAAATTCGTTCGTTTCTTTTTCGGATGCCGCTTTCGCATCTCGCGAAAAGGCACATTCTCAAAAAGGGTGCATCATATTCGCCGCGGATAGCACGATTGACCAAGACCAAGCAGCACCCAGTCCCATCACGTTGTTTTCTAAGAAAATCAACCGTGTTGTGGGCAGCACATTGGCCTCAGAGACCTTTGCTTTGTCAGGCGCCCTAGACATCCTTGGCTGGATTCGCTTGCATTGGTCCTGGGCGGTCAGACGAAACGACCTTGGCTGCATTGCCGAAAGTGTATGCAGTGGTTGATTGCAAGAGTCTGTATGACCTTCTGCAGAAGACATCAGTTCCACAATGTTCTGAAGATAGAACCATGCTTGAAGCGTTGATCATCAAGGACCGACTAAGCTCAAGCCGCTGATGGATTAACCAAAGACATGGATGTCACTCCACTTCGCCTGTTCTCGAACAAAGGGAGTGATGCTGACGTCATTTTGCAGCAGAGGGCCGATAAGCGACTCCGAAGCAAATGGCTGGCACAAGAATTCAGAGATTTTGTAGGAGTGTGACTTGCATGACATTTTGTCCACACCACCGTCGACTCGCAGAGTGCTTCGTGAAAGCCATTCATGTTTGCCCGTTGCCTCCCTCTCAAGTCAGGGGGCTGGGCGTGTGACCCATGGAGGCCTGAGGACAGGCCTTGTCTTGGAGTGGCTGTGGACAGCCCTTTTGTGGTGATCAGCCGTGGACGGCCCTTGGAAAGCAAAGGAAGAGAAAAGGCGCGAGGACGCGCAGTCAGAGAAGGAGAGAGGGCGAGGAAGCTACCAGCGTAGATACCTATATATCTACAATATATACTTAAAAAAATATGCATCCTTCTCCTGCGTCTCCTTCCTTTCCTTCTCCTTCGCTTTCTTCTTTAGTCTTAATTTCTTTCCAATGTGTTCTTATTGTTGTTTTTATTGTGAATGTCCAAAAGGTTTCCTGACTCGGGTGCTGGGAGTTCCCGACTCTGGTGTAGGTTTCCTGACTCCGTCTTCTCCCCCATTGATCCTGCTCTAGCCTTAGTAAGTGAAAGGGATTGAAAGGACATCTAACTAAAATGGACCCTCCATTTGACTGAAAGTGCAGGGATAGGAAGAAAGCAACCAGACTGCTGTACGCTTGGCTTAGCATGCAGGTTTCCTCCTGCTGTTACCCCACGTATCCCCTGATGATGTCAACCAATGAAAACCGCTGCAGCTACATAGCTGTCCTGTCAATAACCTTATTCCAAAAACACATCTTCAAAGTGATCCAAAAGACAGACTGCGTGAATTAGCAGGTTTTATGGACACGGCGCCCGCAAAAGGGCACCGAACTGCTGACCTCATGATGAACCCGCGCCAATTTGGTCCAATCTCAATGCTCTCAGCGCTGGCAATTTTGAGGCCAAAAAGTGGCGGTCCGATGGGCGGGGAGCTCAATCGTAGTTTAGCACCAAGATGAGTCATGTGAGGGTGTCGGGGCAGGTAGGCAGGGAGGTAGGTAGGTAGGCAGGTGGGTAGGCAGTAGGTAAGCAGTAGATAGGAAACACCGTCGCGGGCGGATGCAGAAGGAGACAGCCGGACAGTAAGTAGTGGCGCTCAATTGTTCTGGCTCAGTTTGTCATAGAGAGAGAGAGAGAGCAATCTCATCTGGGCTACTGGGCTGCTTTAACATTGATGGGGCTTTCATGTGAGGGTCTAAGATCACTGTTTCTGATGGTGGCTGGATAAGCGCAGGGCAGTGCCACATTAAGCAATGTCGAGTTGGCTAAGTGCCAAATTTCAGAGAACTTGCTTGCATATTTCATGTCGGATTTGGTAAGCGTCAGTGGCTTTATTGATGATGGATTTCGCCCATCAACAGTAGGTCCATGTGGGGCGCCGTACATCTGCTAAAAGCTCAGGTTTTGCACTGACTTCTGGCGAGCGCCATGCAAAAAACCTTTTGTCTTCGAAAGCTGGCCTTGCGGCCTTGAATGATATTGAATAATAATTGTGTCATAACTGTTAAAAGTGCCCTGTCTCCGACCAAGCCTGAATCACAATGAAAGCTGCCGGGCAGCTGAACCTTGGATAGCAACATCAGTCTTCCGAAGCCGTTCAACGCATTATGACATGCGTCTGCAAGTTTTTGAGCTTATTCGTCTTGCGTGAAACTGAGTTTGGGAAGCACCTGCAGAAACACACAGAACATGCAAATATCAGCCTCCAGAAACATACAGAGACATACAGAGACCCCTCCTCCATCAAAAAACACTCATCAAATCAAACACCTGGCCTTGTTGGAATATTAGTTGACTCCATACTTAGGTTGACTCCATACTTAAGGTCCAATTAAATGTGTTTGATATCATTGTAAAAAAAGATTGAGGGTGACCAACAAGGGTGTGTATCTTTATTGATTTGAGGCAAAATTCCGTCGGAAAGTAACCCCTCCTCAAACCCTCACATCACCTTCCAATTAATTGCAATGACTGTTTTCTGCAGTGCACAGTGCACATGCTGGTATCTGCCTCAGGTTTTCTTCTTGTACTTGTATGGTTGGTATGTTCCACGTGGTTTTGCCTTCCTCTTGAGCCTACCAGTTTCCATTCAAATCCAACCCTTCTCAAGGGGTCGCCCCCCACAAATCTATTTTCGAACAACTATCTTCATCCTGTTGTTTGTTTTTGGGTTTGTCAGCTTCTTTCCACTCAAATCCAAGCCTTCTTGAGGGGCCCCCCGCCACTCAATTAATCCCACGTTTCCTGCGTTCACTGTTCTTGGCTGCTGCGATCCTTCCTATACCAGCTCAAAAGCCTGACCTAGGTATCTACAAAGAATAAAACCTTGCGACCTGCCAACTTGCACAACAAATCAAGTGCAAGGTTTAGCGCATCTGCCTCACTCCTCAATTCACTAAAGCCCTCCCAAATTAATTTTGCAAAAATGATCTGAGGTGGGTCGCCTGCTTTTCAAGGATATCAAAATGCAACGCTGGATTGTTCATAATATACGGGGATTCGGATATTGAAAATAGTCAGTGGGTATGTCGCGGTCACCACTGATCAATTTCGCTAAGTCCTTTCCAGCGTAGACCACTGGAAAAAGAAACTGTGGAAGACAATCACAAAGGTCAGTCTAGCCAGGCTCTTGTGCTTGAACGAATGCCACTAGACATGTCTCATCACACCTACTTCAATGCCTGATTTTCATTGATTTTCTATGCAACCCTGCAGGGTTACCCCTACGTCCCTACTTCGTCTTTTCGGCCAAGGTCCCAGCCTCAGCAGTCATGATGGTGTTTACAGTAACTTCCACCCGCCTCATTCCGGACTGTATATAGGTGGGCCACTTTCATGCGACCTACACAACCCACGAGCCCAAAGACATGCAAGAGAGGCGACCCGAACAATCCAGCATGGCGTCGAACTCCGAGACATGTCGAAACATGTCGAAACCTAATCTGTCTACATCACTGTCGGTCCAAGTCTTGTCCAAGAAGAGAATCGCAAAGTGGTGAGAAGCTATCGCGTGTATGTACTGTACATACAGCGGCATCCAAACCACAAAATTGCTTGAAAAGATGGGCCGATTGTGTGCAAATGCCCTGGAAATGTCTGCCGTGCCAACGGAAGGAAGTTCGTGAAGCATCTTGCAGTCCCTTGCACTGCTACTCAAATTGCGCGTCACAAGATGAATCAATTTGGAAGTACCTACATAACTGCGTTGAGCATCTCTGGAATGGGCAAAGCAAATCATTCCACCACCGATCGAAAGACCTGCTCATGACCCTGGTGGTCAGCAGCTCTGGCACGGCGTGCTGAAGGAACCAACGTGTATTTGAAATCGCCTGCAGTCACAAGGAGTAACGAAATCAGGCTGTTCAACGACTCCTCCGACGATATATGCAGATTTATGCAGGTTCCTGTTTGCACCGGGCGTCCTGCTCCGTGCGTGTTTGGGGAGGCTTCATGAGCGTCAATGCCACCCAACTGTACCCACTCTTATTCATCAAAAGTCGGTGCCCCGGCGGGGCTGTCATCAAAGCCAGAAGGCCAGTCAACAGCTCAGCCGACACACAAGGACACCCCCAACACAACCGGAGACAGCCGGAAACAACCAGACACAGCCGGAGACATGGCAAAAGAGACGCCCAATCAACCAACGGAAGGCAACCGAAGACACTGACTGAACCAGCCCAGCACAACCGAAGACGGCTGAAGACCAGCAGCGCAAACCCTACAGCTGCAAAAACACCCTCATTGAAAGGAGTAAGAACCCCTCGTCCCTCACACTGCCAGCTTCTGCGCAAAGAAAAAAGGCGGGCACTATTTGTTGTGCACAACCTCCGGGGCGAAACACAAATGAAGAAGACAGCATCCGCAGCCTGGCTCGCCCAAAGCGCCCCCGGGACAAACGCTATAATTATATGTGGTTGGTTTCCAAAATGTCTTTTCCCAAAATGGTGCACTCATCGCAATTCCATGGGGGCCCGCTTCTACATCTCCTTTAAACTCCAACCACACTCAAACCGCAGGGATGTTCAATATGAAAGCATGTCAACTGCAAAAATTGTGAGAGGTGTCTAGCGCGGACCTTTTCAGGGGCCTGTTAAGCTGCTGGAGCTGTTGTTGCTGCTGCTGCTGCTAGACTTCTGCAGTTGTTTCCAATTCTCATGATCAGAAGTCTTCAGAACGACATAGGAAGGACGTAAGAGCTGACTCAAAACATTGAGGTGTTGGATGGGCAGATGGTCAAGAAATGGACCGTTGTCTAGCGCGGTGCTAGCGCGGATCTAGCGCAAAAATATCCGTCGATTTCCTCATCCTGTCAGGTTCTTAGTTTTCCTGCTTGCTTGTCTTCTTCTTGTTGTGCAGTATTCTTCTTCTTCTTCTTCTTTTTAGTTTTCCTTCTTCTTCTTCTTCTTCGTCTTCTTATTCTTCTTTGTTTTTCCTTTTTCTTGTGGTGCTTCTTCTTTTTCCTGCTCTCTGCGTGCTTCTTCTTTGCTTATCCTGCTATGAAGAAACCTAGCGCCAACCTAGCGCCAATCTAGCGCTGCCTTGCTGTATCACCATAGTCTGCTGGGGGCCCGCTTCTAAACGAAGACTTAAAACTCATCTCCAACCCTAAAAGCTTACGTTTATCTAAAATTTTTGAGTAGGGCTTTTTGAGTGCAGTCCATGTACATATATTTTCACACGCGCTTAATATTTAAGCCTGGAACAGGCACGTCCTAAGCCTGACGCTTTTCAAAGAGCATCTCCACCATTCTTTCTCGATTCTTCTTCGGGTTCATTGGCGCCTCATCTGCAGAACTGTGATGGACGCCACCCAAAATGCAATATACCAAATATTTGTGTTCTGCGCCACGCAAATATGGTGTGGGCAAACCAGCCTCTGTGACAATGCACGCTTGGTCCTCTGGGTTGACCCGCAAAGCATCAAAGAAGGTATGGTGCCACACCTAAAACAACAACATACGTGAACCACATAAACGGATCAGGTGAGAAACGTAAATAAAAAGTTTCAGGCCTTCTCCATCTCTGACCAGTCCTTCACCACGCCGTGCTCAATCTGAGAATCCAGCACAGTACAAGGGTTTGACAAGCAAACAGTGCAATATATTATATGTTTATCAACAGTCACTCCATATTTTTTACACCTGAAAGGCTGATATGAAACGGTCCGTTTTCGTTTCTCCATCTACCTTCGCCACACATTATGTAACACACAAATGCCTTCGTAAACATTTGGTGATTTACAGTCCAATCTAATTTTTATATCATTCGGGAAAAAAACACTCTCCCTTTAATCACAAACCCGAGCCGATAACAAAGCAAACTGAACGCACAACGAAACTAGTGACATAATTTGACATCAGTTCCGACCAGGGTTTGGCAGCGACCTCTCGACAATCCATTTCCTGTCGCTAATTAAGGCCCAGACCGGGTATGACAATGTCAGCACACCACGCCTTGATACCGCTTCCTCTCCCAAATAGTAGTCTTTCTTGTCGGTTCCTGCCCCAATATATCGGATTTTCTTGGGCATTCTGGGAAACCGATAGAACTGATGAAGTTGCTGCGTTCAACACAGGTCCTGGCATCATTGCTCCATGTTTGGGTTTCCCCACAACCGCAGGGAAGATGCATCGTGGTGCCTCTTCACCTGCAACGCCAGCCTCAAACGCACAACGCACACTCTGACATTGGTTTGCTGTTAACTCAATTCCCACGGTGAGAAGGAAGGCCAGGGAAACGCAAGGTGAAAAGGTCAGCGCAACTGAATAGTTCAACAATCTGTTCACTTGTCTGCAGAAACGCGGCTGAAAGACGGCGGCAGAAACCTGTTTGAGGGGAGAGTATCGTGATCAACAACCATGGCATCAAAACACAGCAAGGAAGAGTGGAGTAGTGTCACGGTGCAGGTACGTCATCAGGCGTCCCTGATGATATCCTAGGAGCCCGTGAGGAGCTTCGTTGGATGGAGCCTCACGTGTCCTCTCCATCCCCCTGCTTGCATATCTGGACAAAAAGCAGCACCCTTTGGAACAGGGGCCGACACACACAGGAAGCCGTAGTCGGCGTGAATGCGTGAGACGGTGGCATCGTGCTCCTTTTCTCAAAAACCGCCGGCATGCTGTTGGATCATGTCCTTTGTGGACATACAGCCGGATAAGCTCTTCAGCCGCTGCCGCTGCATTGTGTGGTGGAAAGGTGTATGTGAAAATTGCATGGAGTCTGGAAGCTAAGCCGGAAAGAGCCAAGCACTGGCTACCGGCGCTGGTGTGGTCCCTGATTTTCCAGGGTTGTGTGGGTTGGATGTAGGTGATGGTTCGTTGTGGTAGGTCAATGTTGAAGCCCAGGAGGTGAAAGTCGTCGACTGTTTCAAGTTTCACTGGGTCGCCGAAAAAGTTGTGGTGGATGAGGGTCTGGATGGCTGGGTGGGAGAGGAAGTGTTCGTTGCGCACGATGAAACGGTTGTCGACGTACCTGCAGTATGTGAAGTGGAGAGCAGTGTGCTGGAGAAGGTTGTTGAGGAGTTGATGCCAAGAGTGTTCAATGAGGGTAATGGCGACGTTGCAGAGGGCAGGAGAGAGCTGGGAGCCAATCCCAGCCCCTCGAATTTGTTTGCAGGTGTTATTGCATGCCCGGAAAATGCAGGTGTTGAGTGCGAAAGCAACGATAGTTGTGATGTCGGGGGTGTGAAGGGTTCGTTGCGTAGGATGTCTTGTGTGGTGTCTGCCGACGTGGGAGTGGTGGAAGGGGTTGCCAGTGGCTTTGGTGTCAACAGTCAAGGTGTGTGTAGTGTTCTGGCGCTGCCACTGTTGGATCATAGAATGGACGGCATCAATGAGACGGTGTTGGGGCACTGAGTTGAAGAAGCCAACTAGGTCATCGTTGGTGGCGTGTAAAGGGATGTCAGCCAGTGTGTGTGTCAGGTAGCAATGGAAGTGGCGCCAGAGTTGTGGGATGGACAGCTGGCCTGGATGTTGTGGGAAAAGGTGTTGCAAAATGATGTCGAGTGCTGGGCTGGTGATGCGTAGAAGGTTGCCACAGCGAGTGGAAGTACGCCAGCGCTTCTTTTCTTTGAGGTGGACAATGCCGTATGGGATTGTAAAATCTTTCTTGAATCCCCATTTGTACCGGGAGCGTAGGGTGGTCGGGATGGTGGCGGAGAGGTAGTCGTGGATGTTGGAGGAATGGAGATGTGGAAGGGGTTCGAAAAGTTCTGGAGCTTGCCAGGTGTTGAGCGCTCCGGCGAAGTATTGTCGTGGGCAGAAAATGCGGAGCTGTTGGAGTTCGTGGTCCGCATGGTGGAGCACGACCTTGTCACCTAGGTATTCTTGAAGCTGTCGGATGAGGCGGGCTGTGAAGCGCGGTTGTTGTTTGAGGTGTGCTGTGTGAAGCCGCCATTGGTGCTGAAGAAAAGGCTCCAAGTGTTGGCTGAGTGAGGTCGGAAGACCTTGTATCCGAAGCCATTTGGTGAAGGCTGTTTGAAAGGTGAGAAAGTATCTGGCTTTGCTAGGGTAGAAGGTGCTGTTCATGTTGGCTGCAAGGAAAATGCGAAGGTGTGGTGGTAATGTCAGTTGGTCCAGGGTGAGAATGTAATGGTCGTTGGTGGTGATGGTGGCTGGATCAAGAAGGAGAGCATGGAGATGTGAGCAAGCACACGGAAGATCATTGGGGTCTGGAGGGGTGTGCAAGGTATCTTCCCACGCGGGGTGGTTGTGTAGCTGGGCTCGAAGTGTTTTGTGAGCAGCTTCACGTAAGCGATGTGTGGGAAGGTGGAGTGGGATAGCCAAATGCTTGTGTTGTTGGATGGTGGTCTGGAGCCACTGCTGGCAGTGCTTGGCGAAATCATCATGAGCCAGGAACGGGACTGTAAGAGGAATGTTGGGCTTGGGAGGTGTCAGATTCCTGTAGTGAAGTGCTTTGTTGATAATGTGCATGGCTCGGGTGCGACCTGGTTCTTCGAGGTTGGAGGCCATGCGAGACTTCTAGGTCGGTGCGACGGCCGCTGCGAAGTTGCTTGGCTGCTTCAAAGGAGGCCAGTGTGTGCTTGGTAAGATTGCGAAGAAGAGTGAGGGCATGGTGTTTGGTGCAGGTATGGCTCTCGGATTGTCTGTTGCCGTCTGCGAAGTTTTCGAAAGAGGCGCTTGTGCGTGGCTAAGCGGGAGTAGAAATGCGCCCGGCGCTTGGTAAATTGCCAGCCTTCGGCTTTGAGCTTGAGATGTTGAGAGATGAAGGGAGTTGAGAGGTGGCATCCAGTTGGAAATGAAGTGATGTTCTTTGATCCAGGGAGGAGAGTTGAATAGGGGTGAAGTGGTGCAAGTTGCCATGGGAGTGCCAGTAGCGTAAGGAGAGTTCCGCGGAAATTGGGATATTGTTTTGGAGTTGCTTGAGCTTGGCGCGGCGATTATGTTCACGGTGTGGTATGCCGATGGCAGTGGAGCCCAAATAAAAGTGGCCATGTTGATGGTAGCATCGTTGTGGTGTGATGGTGTTGAAGTGGAGTTTGACGTAGACGGAGAGAAAGTTGTGGTAGTGGTACATGTGAGGAAGCACTTGGAGGTGCCGTAGGCGCTGGCGCCATTGCTGGGAGCGTTGGGTAGACGATGGATAGCAAAACAGAAGGGTGATGTGAATGAGGCCGACAGCAAAGATGGCTTCGGCTCGTTCTATGTATTGGCAGTGGTGGATGAGTGTGGAAAGGGCTCCGTGTAAGTGGTAGAGTTGAAGTGTGTGTTGTGCGGCTGCAAAGAGAGAGTCAGCAGGCGACAGCTGCCCCTATGCTGACGATGCGCTGCAAACTCTTGATGGTGAGTTGTTGACACGGTTGAGTGGCAAACCATATCGAGTAGCCGCTTCCTTCAGCTGGTCAGTGGTGACCTTGCTTGTTTGGAGGACGCGAAGCACTTCTTTGGCGGATTTTTGAATGGCTGGGGCTGTCCATGAGTCTGGGGAATCGTCTTTTAAAGGCGGATGGGGTGGTTGGAGGACGTCTGCCAGCACGGGAGGCTTGTGGACTGCGGGTTCTGCTGGAGCGGCTGGTGCACTGGCGGCATCCTTGCGGGGTGTGAGTTCGACGCCGTGGGCCTGGAGCTTTTCGCGGGCTCTGGCTATAGGTCGTCCGAAGTGGCTTTTAGGGCACGAAGGGCGGAACCTTCGGCCGCTGCTGGGGCGTGGGCTTGAAGTTGCTGAGCGATGAGGGAAATCAGTGGAGCGTGGAAGGCGCGGGCTTGGGTTGTTTTGTTGGGGGCCGCTGTGCCCTGAGAGGCATGGATGGCTTCCGCGATCGCATCCAGGTCAAGGCGTTTGTCTCGAATTTCTTGTCTCAGGTGAGTTGTGAAACTCAGCAATGCTGCGTGTCGGAATGAGGCCACAATATTTTCCGTGGCTCAAAGTCCTGGCTGTGTAATCGGCCGTACCGTGGTAGGCGAGAAGCCATGGAAACACATCGAAGGTGGGAAGTCCGGCGATGCCGACACGGCGTGACCATTGTGTGGGCTGTATGGTGCGGTGAAGTTGATGGCCGTGTAATGCATTGGAATCCCAATGAGAGTCTGTGGGATGCCATGAGTCTTGAAGTGTTGGTTGGGGAAATGGGATTGTGGACGGTGGTGCAGGTGGAGCCGGATGAGTGGGGCTGTGCTTGAAAGAGGTGGCAGTCGGAGTGGCAGGGGCAGCTGTTGGAAGCTTGCTGGTTCGTAGAAGGCGATGGAGTGTGTGCTGGTTGTGACGTGGTGGGCGATGGAGTGTATAGGGATGGTGTTGGTGCGCCTGTTGGGTGCGTACCGAGTGGGTCATAGGTCCATAGGTGCCCGTGGGTGTGTATTGGTGGGTGGCTTGGCTCTGTTGCGTGGCGGGGCGCTGTTGTTGCTGTTGTTGCTGGAGAAGATAATGTTGCCAGCGCAGTAAAACTGTTGCCACTGCGCATCCATGTTGTCGAAGGATCGGGCTCAACGTGAAAGAGTGGGAAGCGGACAGTTCGAGCAAGAAAGCTGTGGAGAGAAGAGTAACATGGACGCGAAAAACTCCTGTCGTAGATGGTCGAAATTATTGGGTAGATTGGAAAATACTGCCAGCAATGATTGTGAAAACCGAAAAGGTCGGCGATTGGTGGTGAGAGTACAGGTCACATGAAGCATTGACTGCTCTGATTTTTCGTGGTGCTGGGTGAAACAACGAGCGGTCGCAGCATGGAAGTATGTCCACAGAACGTTTGGCAGCATACTAGTAATGAAAGAAACAAGTCGGTTGTGACGAGGACGCATACAATGAATTAAAAAAGGAAATGAAAGGTGGACCGTGAATTGAAATTGAAATTGAAGAAGCTATAGAAAGTGGGCTACGAGGCGGCCTCAGGCATCTCAGTTCCCATAGTTGTTCCAGGGGTCATCTTCAGGGAAATAGGGCTGCTGCTGGGGTGGCAAAGGGCGGCCGTTGGAATCGTAAAGGACCCTGACTCGCTCAGAGGATGCCATGGGCGGTGTTGAATATGGCTGTTGTGGCTGCGGAGTGTCTCCGCGGAAAACGGGCTGCTGGTAGAACGGTGGTGATCATGGGATTGCGGTGGAAATTGCTGTGGCTGATAAGGTGCGGGCCATGGGCGAGTGACTGGGTTGTAGGTGGTCGGAGGTGCCGTGCTGGGGTATGGGGCCTGGCGGTGGCGGACGCT